AGAAAGACCAACAAACTGAACAGAAGCCACCAAAGACAATGCACCAGACCAGTGGCAGCATCCTGAATGAAATTAATCACACAATTTTTCTATTCTCTCTCACTTTCCCCTGTGATTGGTTTCGACAACCCCAGAGCGACGTCTCTGATTAGTGAGGGGGACTTTATAAGAGTCGCACGGCTGCCTCAGCTTTATAAATAGACCTGCTTTGTGGAATCCACTCAGGCAGGGTGAGGCGGAGGAAGACAAACAGAAATCACTCTCAGGAACAATAGATTATTCTTCTCCAACTGTAGTCGCGTTGCCCCTGCCTGGATTTGCGCTACGAGATCTGCGGCATCACTTTTGTACCGCTACAAATTAAAATGGAAGAAAAAACAAAAGCAAGCCTTTCCTTTGGGAATTTAAGCTCACAAGACAGGGAAAACACTGTCCATCTGTGGCCTTTCAAGCACTATGTGTTTACCGGCTCGTCAGAGTCTGACAGCTACAGCCTGTACACAGTGATGCTTACATTGTCAGTATGCTTAAGTAACGCATCCCTATGTGTGTGATGTTTAAACCCGACTGACTTTATGTTAACATGATAGAAAGGGAAGAAGTCGGACAAAACAGACAACTTGGTGTCCGATTCCGAAGCGGCCAGAGAGAGCTTTGTGTTTTCCATGTATTATCTCAGCCAGGAAAACACAGAGATAATGGCAAAAATAAACAGCTTCAGCATATTTGCTTCTCCTCCGGCGTGCTGTTGAAGGTGACTGATAGAGGCAGACGCGGCCCCATTCTGATCCACTGACAGGCCGGCTGACATTAACAAAAGAGCCAAGACAAAGAGAAAGCACTGGGAGGAGAGACGGCTGAACAGAAATCCACCTCCGATTGCTACAAAACACACTCGGCTGTCATTAATTCACCAGACAAAACTGTTACCAGATGTCATTATTTATTAAAAGTATTTAATAGGGAAAATGCTACCTTTGAATAATGCATTCGGTGGGAGAGGGGTGCAGAGCGGAGGCCTCGGGGGCGGATGGGAGGTGGGTGATTGATGAATATTAACGAGCAGTGTCTGAAGGGATTGTGGTAAACTACCTTTTTTTTTTTTTCCTGCCTCTGTGTCTCCTGGGCTTTGTGTGCTCAGCCGCTGACCAACGATGGCCCAGCTGCGCTGCTCATTTGCTTGGCTCTATACGTGCAGTCGCTGGCTCAAAGTGCCACGCCAGGCTATTTTATTCTCAGCCAAACCGAAGCAAGAAAGCAGCCCCACTCCTGCTCAGTGGCACCGGGTTGGAGGGTTCCGGGGGACGTGGGGCTGACACTCAAGCTGAGCGACGTGCCCCAGCGAGAGGACAGGTACGCACTTCATCGAGGTAGTGAAGCAGCTACCTTGAAGCCGGAGAAACTAAGTGTTGCATCCCGCCAAGTTTCTTTGAAGCGACGGAGAAACTGAGCGGATGGCAGTCGAACACATAGTGTTCGACAAGCACATAGTGTCACGATTGTTTATAGAATCCACATTGAATAGGCTGCATGTGGGCTGCTGTGTGGGCTTTCACTGCTTAATTGGATCAGGGTTATCCAAGTCTGAGAATTACCTCTTCTTTGCAGGAGTCTTTTGGCTTTCCCCTCTAATCTGCCACCTTGGACTAAAACCGGATATTCATTTTTGTCTACACTAAAACCTGCACTCTGCAATCTTGCAGAGTGCAAAAAAACACACAAGTAAAAATCACAGTTGATGATATTAAAAGCAATAAACTGCCAGTTCAAAGTAGAACCAATGCATCAGCAAAATAAGACAGCTTTACACCAACAGGCTACTACTTTGCCTGGTGTGGCTCTGAAACGCAGCCTGGACTGATCTCCATGAACCTTAACATCCTCTCTTGCTTTCCTCTGCAGGGCACTTAGCATGCTGGTAGGGAGAGGTTTTTGTTCTCGGTTCCCATTTTTTCCTTAACCTGTTTCAGATCCAAATGGCGTTCCTTGACCTGGTAAGGTCATCAAACACTGTGCTATGAGGAACCTAATGTTCTCCATTCTCTCTACGACTGAGCGCTTCACATTCAGGTCCTGATTTCTGAGACTTTGTTGCTTTAAGCTCCTTGTGGACTCCTCTCGGTACATTACACAATGAGTCACACATCTTTCTGCTATAAAAATACAGGAAATATATTCGGCTATTAGAACCACAGGACCCCAGCTGACTCATAGCACCACAACTCTAAAAATTGAATTCCAGGTGAACTGCCAAAAATCAAACCCATTGACCTTCCTGATACTCTGCATTTGCAAGGCTGCTCTCTGCCTTTATTTTTGCCACGCTGTCAGCTTTTAGTTTAACTGTAGTAGAAGTTTTATTGTTGGAATATTTAATGTCATCCATTACCAAAATACAAATTTTCTTGGATGAAATTCAAGGGCTAATTTCAAATGTACTGAAGGCTGTAAAAGAGAACGAGGTTTCAGACTCCATTGGTCCTTTTCCAGTTTGCAGAGCCCCACTAATATTGTGCGCAAAATTTTAACAACACAGAAATCTAAGTGACAGTGTAGCCATCCACCCAACAGTGTCGTTGAAGTCCTTCTCACAAGATGCTTTCTTGGAGACAGTAATGAAGGATACAATACACCAGGTGTCAGAAAGTCTGCTAAAGTCTGAGCTACATATGGCCATTTGAAGGGACAGCAAAATTTACATTCCTAATTGTGGTGGAGTGAATTGTGAAACAGGGTGGAGAATGTGCATTTGCCTTTAGTCAGCAAATCACTGACTCTTTCATGTATTTTCTTGTTTTGGGGTTTTGAATTTATAAAAGTCTTATGAGATTTCCAAGGTAGGTGTTAAAAAAAAAAGAAAAAAAGATAAACACAAATTGATTTTGGATTTTCTGCTGAATTTGACTTCAGCAACCAGAATCGAGCCAAACAAACAAAAAAGATTCCAGAAAAATGAGGTGAAAAATCGTCTTTTTCTGGAACCGGTTGGCTCCTCTCAACCTTTTTGTCCCCTGCATTACCACACTAGACTGGCTTTGTTTGGTTTAAGCGTAGCAGAGGGTTCATTGTTGGGATATTAACGTCTTACATTAGCAAAAATCGCTGTAAAAATTAACAGTTTACCGATTTGCTTGGACGCAACTCAAGAGCACAATTGAATCTGTGCCAACCCTCCCACCCTCAGCTACAAGTGTCTGCATCAAGCCAAGTACAGCCAGCCAGAAAAGACACATTATTGAAATATGTGACAAATGCAACCCCATGCAAGGAGCAGATAATGCCGTCAAACTGGCCCCGGGCTCTTTCCCTTTTCCTCCCCTCCTTCCATCGCTCGTGAGATGTAATGACAGCATTTCAGCGCCGCTTTTGGCCTTGACCACACTTGGAGCGGAGCCACAAAGAGGCAGCGAGCCTCTCAGAAGGAATATTGTTCATCCATTGCGATGCCTCATCGCACACAAAATGTGAAAATAGGAGCAGCAAACTGGCAAAGACGTAAGAAGAGAACACCTCTTTTGAGAACAATGACGATACTGCTGAAGCGTGCGGCAAGAGTGATAAGCAAAGGCTGCAAAAAGACGAAGATCTTGAGAGAAGAGAGGGGACAAGGAGGGAAAACACAAAAGATGATCTCCATCATATGCATGGAAGCACAAGAAGAGGGGAGTCTTAAATGGCAGCAGGGGGACTTCTGCAAGGAACGTCGTTCCTTGCAGAACCACTTCCCTATTCATGCGCCAGAAGCAAAGGATGCCCAAACTAGCAGCACTTGGCACGTATCACATACACAAAGATCCACTCACAGCTGCTCAATTAAAAACAGTTTGGCTTGTTTGTAGGTTCTGACTTGGCTTTCAGAAGCGGTCTGCCCACTTAAACACAAGTACACAACAATCCGAGGCAAAACATACCTGTAGGAGGAGGTTCGGTGTGGATAATGGGTGGTAAATTAATAATGAAAAGGAGCACTGGATCAGTTTTTGAGAAGGACACCTTGTCTCAAACTCCTCCAAAAGGCAGCCTAGATGATTGTGCGCCCATGCGTGAGCAAAGACCTGAGACATGCCGTGAGCACCAGGCAGACAGACCGAAAAAAAGGCACGAGAAAGAAGGAAGCGGGAGCAGAAACTGTTTCACAAACTGCTTGGTTGGATCTCTGCTTAATTTCCCATGGGGTCATAAGAAGCTCTCCTCTACTCCCCCCACCCTCCACCATCCAAAAGCTGAAATGCTGCCATATACGCGTTAAAATTAAAACAAAGGAGAGAGGAGGGAAATGAAGCTGCACAGTTTGCCGTCTCATCCTCGGTAACCATTGACATCTTTCACTGGGAGATGTCCTGTGGCTCGGACCTCCTGTTCTTTGGTGATTTTTGCAGGCGCTTACTCCGAGAAGACGAAGTTTCCTCCGGCAGAAAGTATTCACCGACTTATTTTGGCTGATTGTCAGTGACACCACTGTCTCATGTTTTTCTCTCTCACTCACCCCCATTGTTTTGCTGTCAGCTCTGATTGTGGCATCTTTACATGGTACTACCTATTAACTTCAGTCTCATTCAAAACATCTCTGAAGCTTTCCGAGAGGTCAGAAAGTGGGATTTACAACAAAACGTGGTCTGTGTCCAGCTGATGTCTTTTTAAGATTTAAGCATGCAAAGAATAATAAAGGCGGGGAATGTGACTGTCAACATTCCTGTGCAATTAACAGATTCTGCATACCAAGACACTTTTTGGCATAAAGCAAAGCTGTTGAAAAGGTCAGCAGCATATGAATGTCTTAGAAATTACGGACGCGCAGTTACTGGAAAAAAAAATTGCTGGTAAAAATCAAAAGTGCGCTCATTTAGTTGCGGATGCTGCCGAAAGTGGACTCAGCTTCACAGCGAATGCTTCTGCAGCCCCTTCTCACTTTGCATTCTCTGGGCTCAGTCTGCGCCCAGAAAGACTTTATTTCCCCCCGTCGTGACAAATCAGCAGCGGATGAAACAACTCGCGCTCACCTTTGAAGAATCCGGCTCCGTCCGCAGGAATGCAGAGTGATGCTGAGGCTTTCTAACAGAGTGCAGGTGGAGGCGCCACAGAGAGTGAACCTGCAGCTAAACCATCCAGCGGACGCCGTAGAAAAATAATAATAATAATAATAAATTATATACCAAAGCCTTTGGGTCCGGCTCGGTTCGGGTCCAAAGGTGTCACGTTGCCAAAAACAGAACGGCAGAAAAAAATATATTTTTTTGTTTGTTTGTTGTTGTTTCTGTGAGTGAAAATGCACCTGGAGCTCCAGCCGAGTCCGCGCGTCCTCTGGAGAGGAGGAGCCGCGACGAGAGGATGAGCGTCAGCCGGAGTGGTGCTCACCTCTCCAGCAGCTGAGCGCTACTGAACAAAAGAGCTCCGAGGGCTCTCTGCTCAAATAGCAGAGAGGGGCGGCGGGGAGGGGAGAGGGGGCGGAAGACGAGGGGGCCCCAGCGTGAGAAAGACGGTGGGTGAGATAATGATATGGTGGGGTGGAGTGGGGGAGGGTGGCACAAAGACCAAAAGTTTCTACAGAACACTATAAAAGGGAACATTTTATAGCCTATATAAAAATGTTTTTTTTTTCCCTTTAGAGACTCTCCTGTACCATCAAAAACTTCTTTTTTACGCATTTAATGACATAGAAATGTTTTTTTCTTCTGAGGTGGATAGAAAATATTCAATTTTCTGTTTGGTTTTTTTATGTTCAAGGTTGTCCTTCTGGAAGGTGAACCGTCACTCAAGTCTTTTGCAGTCTTTTATCAAGTCTTCTTCCCGTACCGCCTGGCTTGAGCTCTGTTCCTCTTCCCATGAATTGTGACCAGACTCCAGGTTCCTGCTGAAGAGAAGGACCCTTGCAGCCTGACCCTGTCTGTTAATGTCGACTAACTTTTACTTTTCTGCCACACAGAACTTGTCACGGAGGCCAAAATGTTCAGTGCAGATACTTTTGCAAAGCCCAGTGTCCATAAACACAATATCATTTATATAGTGACTAAATATTAACCTGCCTATTGACAAAATAATGAGACTTATTTGTGAATGGCACTTCAATGAATCCTTAAAATTGTTTAGAAAACGATAAGATGCAGTCATGATTTTGATATCCTCAAGCTGAGGTGCTCCACACAGTCCCATTTGGTCTATAGTAATGACCATAGGAATTAAATTATGTTTTCTGGCTGCCAAGCAATGATCTAAACATAGGATTTTACTTGTAATAGCCAATTTAAAGCAATCAAATTAGATTTAAATAGAAAATATCCCAGAATTTTGCTTAGAGGTTGAACTGGTAACAATCGGGTTCGGTTTCAAATGCCTTCTTTGCATAATACAAGTTATACAAGTCTACAGGGTACATGCAGAGAAAAAAAAATAGAAATATAGGGTCAGACTAATTTAAAATGGCTTGCAAAAGAGTTGTTTGTATTCATTCACAGATCCAGCACTTTTGGAGCCACTATGTGAGGCCTAATGATTCCCTGGTGGCCTCCATGGCCGTGAGAGGAAGATTAAGGCTTAGTTCATATTGTTCAAGCATGGCTGGGATTGTTTGTATTATTGTTTTTCCGGTATGAAATATTTATTTACAGAGTGCATTATTACAATGTGCAGCAAAATGATCCAAAGGCATTTTGCAGGTGGACCTTTATAGTTTAAAAGCTACACATCCCCACTAGTCCTTGGACTGTAGGAGCTGTCCACGGTTCTGAACCTGCAGCAAAGCGGTGCTTTAACGACGTGAGAAAATGTCAGTTTTCCTTGAATAAACTTGTTGCGTCAGAAGTAAAAAAAAAAAATGTCTTGAAGCCTTTTATTTATTTATTTTTTTTTTTTTTGAGAATTTTTATGATTCAACCAAAGAGAAAAATTTTACTGACTGTTGGCATTGAGTCCATTAAGAAATAATACAGCCGCAGGTCTAAAATCAAGCAATTATAAAAACAAAAAGAAAACCGGCAAAGAAATTTCTCTGTTTTTCTATAAACACGTACATTTTTTATTGTTCAAATCACATGACAGCACATCCCAGAATTTTGTCGTTATTCATTATACACACTACTGTCACTAATTCTGGGCTTTTGATGATGTTTGAACTATTCTTTCTTCTATGTGACAATGATCCGTCACACAGCACCATGCCGTCCAGGACATGATCACACAAGAACCAGGATGGAGGAAACAGAAGAATAGAGAAGTGACACAGAGAAACAAAGGAGCTGTAATACTGTGGAGATGTAATCTGTGAAATGACGACCAGGTGAGTAAAATCAAACTAAATGAAAACACAGCGCAGCTGTCTAAGAAAGGCTAAGGACTGAAACCAATATATTAAACAAAATGTCTAGAACACAAAACAACAATGAATCAAAAGCTAAACACAAAGGAATGAACTAACCTGGAGAGACCCTGATAACACTAAAATGATCAAAAAACAAACATCAGTGAGAAACAAAACACAAACATTTGATAATTATGATAGTTTAAACTCGTTTTACCAAATATGAAGACTATTAAAACATTCAGCCATGATTGTTTATGTTACTTGTTAATGAGAAAAAAAGATTGATGAGGATGTTTATGCAGGTTTCATTTTGTTTATGCATAATTTTGGCCCTTTTTCATTGGAAATGACCTATAATTAAATCCAATTGTGTTTGCTTTTATCTCGGTGAGTTAATGTGAGCTTCAGAGTGCACTTTGGAATTACTCAGGTGATAGAAATGTAGCTTCTGTCATTACATCAGTATTTCTTTATGCATCGTGAATGAACCAAAAACCTGGCGTACAACAATAGAGACATAAAAGAATAAGTGTTTGGCTCAAATGTTCAAAACGACAAAAAGAAACTGCTTAAAAGAATCCACGGACAGTGTTGAAGTGAAGTGAGAAATGCTGCAGAGGTCTTTCGAAATACTTTGCCTTGGCCTCATCTCATCCATGTCATTATGTAAATGCTATGCTGACGAAGTATAACTTTAACTCATGAGAATCTGTCAGCAGTTTTATTGACCTTAGCTCATTTGGCCGTCTATTGGTGCTCTGGAGATGAAGAGTGGATTCTAAAAGTCCTGGCCAGGAAAATGCTCAAATGGCCAAATAATGGCAACAGGTTATGCAGCTAATTCCTTAGCTGTGTTAGACAAACTTTAAAAAAGCAAATTCAGGGGCATAAAGGTTGTAATGGATTTCCTTCCTTTTCACCACAATCAAAACTCATGTGAAGTTGCATTCTTCTCTGTCTGCGGTTAAATCAAAGCGTTCACAGAGCATAAAAGAGGATATTAGTTGTGGCTGGTGGTGTTTTAATAACATGAAATAGTCGCTCAGTGCCTGACTGTGCGAGATAGGCTTACAGCTTATCCCTTCTAGATGATGAAAGACCTTCTTTAGAACAACAAAGTCATTTTCATAGTTCAAATCAGAAATCTATATGATGCCTGCTTATAAACCGCACACTTGGCTCATGAGCTTTGTTCTGTGCATCAGAGTGAGCTTATTACTTATTACTATTATAATGAGTTTTAGGAATCTCTTTCACTTCCTAAAATTCAACCAATCACATTCTGAGAGCAAACACATGAACACAGTGAAATATATTTGTTGTTGTTCTTTATTTTTTTTTTTTTTACAAATGACTGATGATACAAGTGGAGCACAGAGAGGACTAATGAAGTTCTCTACCATTTACTGTCCCTAGTAAAAGGTAAAAGTTGTTTTTCACATCAGCACATAACAACCCCAAACTTTAATACATCATGTTGGGATTTTATTTGATAGACCATCAGCAGGCATCAGTGAGGGGCAAGAAAAATGTCTTTAAGAAAAATCTGAAAAATGTACCATTCATTTTATATTCAAATTTAGTAGAACAAGCTTTTGCTACGATTACATCTTGTGGAATCACTCCTCATGGCCTTTTACTCCACTCTACACAACTTGGGTGGTTTTCCATAACAATCGAGTGAGAGGTCCAGTGGGTGGAGTCATTATATTATGAGCAGCCCCAGAGTCCAAAAAGTAGTGGGATGTGATTTGTATGCTATGTAAACACAAGAGCTACAAGAGAGGACATGAAAGCTACATTGAACAGTCGGCTCTGTCTGTGACTTTTTATATTAATAATAAAAAAAGAGAGAGAGAAATGGCAGTGGGCAGAAACACAAGAGTCACTCTTATGATGCAACCAGTACTTGTGTCTCCTGCGGATACAAAAACTGGATAGTGGACTACCTGATGCAAAATCTCAACATTGCTTTTGAAGCACGTGTCTGTATAAATCAAGGAAATACACTTCTGACCAAACAACACAATACACTGCGCAAAATGGTTCAACCTGCGCCTCGTGTCGAGAAGGGGAGGCCAATGTCTTCCTGCGAACACTGAGTAAGTCAATAAGAGCCACTTTCGACAGTTCGGGTGAAGTATGAGAAAACCTTAAGGAGTGGCTCCATCAGAATCATTTGAAGTGGAGTAGCTCAGTGTTTGCTCTAAACATAAACCCGAGGAAAATATTTGGAGGGAGCGCCAAAGGCTGAACGATCTGGAGAAGAGCTGTTTGGTGGTGATGGCCAGAATCCCTGCTGCAGTGTGAGCAAACCTGGTCACAAACTACAGGACGCGTCTGACATGTACTCAGTGCATCCATATAGCTGTGCTCTCTCTAGAAGCGTCCTCTGGAAAAAGTTTGTTGGATTTTGTTAATACCTTAATTAAGCCAAGCTAAGAGATAAATAAATCCACAGAGAACACTGTCAAGCAACCCCTGACACCCTGAGGAATAATTAGGCAGAGCAGAGAAATATTTTCCCCCAGCTCCTCCCTAGAGCACTTTGGAGTAAACTTTGCTTCTGCCCCTTCATTTGTGACAGGGGATTTTTTTATTTGCATTTCGGCTTAACTCTGTAAGCTGTAAAAAAAAAAAAAAAAAAAAAAAAACACACACATAGTACAAATGAGCTGGAACAGTAAGCAATAGAAAACTCACAGGGAATGTTTAAAAGCATTGTTGCTGCTGGGGCTTTTCCAATAAAGTCACTGAAGCTGTGTTGTTACTTTTTTATTTTAAGTGACAGACAATTTGTTTGTTAACAGCAGACATACTGACACTGAGGAAAATTTGTTCTGTTTTGTGTTTCCATCAACGGAGATTTTAATTTAGCTGCAGTCTCCATTAGAAAATGTGCTCCTGTTTTTAAACTCTACCAACATTTGTCTCCTCTTTTAATTACAAATGTCTTGCACATCTTATGATATTAAATGAAATGAGATGGAATGAGATCATTGCCATAACTTCATTTGAAATATTAATATTAACTATCTCACCTTCTG